AATATATTTTTAAACACCCATTAGTAAATGCGATTACTTGTTGGGGATTCAAAGTGAGCTAAATGTTCAACTTTTATCACTAGTGGTATAAGTGAGACGATGCTAAGATAAAACTGTGAATGCCACTAAGAAAACAAAACACTTTCATCTCATCGCATCAGCTACCAGAACCATAATGTAACAAAGTACCCCATTACGCGATTTGTCAACTCGAAGTTGAAAGTTGGTAAGGCTGCCTAAAATTAGTGTATGACGCACGTGATAAAAGTAATTTTGTTCTGCTCTTAGTATTGCGCTTCTCAGTCTATAAGTCTATAGACTGTCGCAACCACTCCTACTAGGAACATAAAATGTCACCATTTCCCACTCGCATCATGAATAACTAGTTTGGTAAGCGCACAAAACATCGTCGCAGGATTGTGCAGATTCGTCCCACTCGCCGTAACGTCACGTAGCGGAACCCGGTGTAGCGAGCGAAACCCGTTTTCTTGACCTCCGCTACTCCCAGAGCCGGGGCTCGGCTGTCCCACTCCAGTCTGTGTATAGCGAAGATTCACGTCCCCCTAACTACCAGAAGAGAGCACACGCTTCTACGCTTTTGTCACCAGACAATCATGATGATGATGATTTTGAGTTGAGCTGCAAATGGGCATAACCCCGTGGCAGCTAATTACATAAATAAAATAATATTGCTAACATGCAAATTATATAATAATAATAATAATAATAATAATAATAATAATAATAATAAATAATAAATAATAAATGCATTAATAATAAAAATAATGATATGAAAACTATTTCATACAACATTAACTTAAAAACAGAAACTTCTATAATCTAACTCCGCAATGAATGTTTGTTCAACTAAGACCACATTGCACTGCACTGTACTTCACTTCACAATGACCACAATCACTTCCTTCATTATTTTTCTGTTCAACACTGCACGACACCTCACTTTATAATATATCACGAATTGCTCTATAACCTACTTTTCTCAGTTAAGAACCCTCATTTACTTAGTAATAACCTAAATTAATTTTCTAAACTGTTAAACGTTGCGAGGAAAGAGTTCAAAGGTTTGCAGACAATCTATTCCATTCCGTTATCGTTCGATTTGTGAAAGAAAATTTCCCGATATCCGTCCTCCGCTAAATTTATTGTGTGCCTGTGATCCCGCCTACTGATGTATGCTATGATGATGTAGATATTTGACATAACTACTTATTACTGATTTTTTGCAATATTTTACGGTTTGTTGACTTAATGAAACCAAATATACTAAAAAATAGGCTCTCTTAACGGCCGAAGAGATTTTTAAAATCCACAGTTGGTTAAAAAGGACCAATCAAAACCAATGTAATGCATCTAAAGATGGAGAATGAGTACTCCTATTCCAAGAAAAGTTATTTCTAACTGTTTATACAAGAATTTGGTATTGCGAAAAGTATTGAACAGCACAAGGCAGTTATTCCAATTAATTAATGTGATTTGCGGGATCTGACAGGAAGTATTTAACAGTCAACGTCTAGAGTGTCCACGATATTAACTTGGAGGAATGGAGAAGCCATTACGAGTGAGGTCTAGCACTACTTCATTTATAATGCGCTGACACGTCCGCAAGTTACAACTTCATTTGCGTATAACTTGTCTCGAAGGAACGTAGTGTATTTATCTGATTATAAGCGTTGTTTATAAGTGTTTGTTAACTATCTGAATATACTGGCTAGTTTTGTTATGTTTTACTAACATTTGTGTTAATATTACTATATTAGTAATGTTAATTATAAAGTGCATTTTTATATCTGCAAATAAGACTTGAAACTAGAATATTTATTTTAATACACGTAGTTTAGAAAAATAAAAAAAAATTACCTGCGTAGAAACCAGAACACATTGTTAGTTGTTAAGTGAATATTAATTGAAAAGAACGTAATTTGCAACAAAATAAGGTTCAAATGTGAAAATGAGGCACACTTAATATACTCAACTTATATTTTTGGGTGTGCAATTTTATAACAAAGCTTACAAAAATATGTTTCATGAATAATAATATTAATAACATTAATAATAATAATAATAATAATAATAATAATAATAATAATAATAATAATATTAATAATGTAAGGAAGAAGAAAGAGGTCTCAGACAAATTGAAGCTTCCTGGCACAATGCAATCGGGGGATGGGAAATTTGTAGGATGACCCACTAATGAGGCAGATCATTGAATCTGACGTAAGAATGAGAAACAGAGGCATTGCAAGTGTAACAAGAAACATTGCAAAGAAAACTACGCAACACATGCAGAAAAGCAGAGTCACTGAACTTCGGATTCTACTTAACATGAAATCAGAGACACAAAAAGTCAAAGATATCCCGGAGAGACCAATCACTCCTTGGCCAGTATCTAAAAAGAATGGACAAGCTGGGATGGAATACTTGAAAAGACCCAGGGTGTGTAGTTACCTACACTGACAAATCTGTACCGCCTTCGAAGTTCCAAACACATGCGTCCAGTGCCAACAACACTCACCAAAACCGGTGACGTCTGCTGCACTGTTGACAATACTGTACGATCAACAAACGCAAACTGGTCGCACAATAGTGGAAAACAAACCTAATATTGTTATCTGGGCTTTGGAGAAAAAATCGTGACTACATGTAGATGTTGTGTAGTGGGATCAAAACGTCGTAACCAAGGATAGGTGAAACATCTTAAATACATGAGTTCGGAAATCGAGATCACCCAAATACGGAGCGTAAAAGTACAGGTCGTCCCAACAGTTATCGGAGGTCTGGGATTTGTTCCTCAAAATCGGTGTAACAACATAGCTTAACTCCCAGGTGTTTCAAAAGACTGGAAGTGCAATTTTCAAAGGATAGAAAAATAATTCGATTTATTTGGAAAATTGCTCGATTGGAGAATTTCAATATATAGAGGTTCTATATATGGACTTTCAACTGTTTATATATAATGTAATATATTGAATGCAATAATAATATATTGGATATCATGTTAATGTTACATTACAAGCCAATCATTTTGTGACATAAATCAATCCTAAAGAATACAATATTTTTTAAAGTTGCCTTGTTGAAAACGTAAAGGAGCGCCACCCCCTTTATCTAATCTGGAAATAAAGTTCTGATTGCAATGACTTATGAAACACTTAGTCCTTACCTCAAAACCCAATGCAAATCAATTTTATAATATGAAAAATATTGAACAAGCAATAAACATAATCGACTTTTAGAAATTCCACATTTAACAGACAAAAAAATAGGTATACAAATGTATAAGCTTTTGTTATAGGTATGGAAGTTTTGCTCATAATGACCTTGATGGTTAAGTGATTGGCATGCGTTTTTTTTGGTCTTCAAAAATTGCAATATCAACGTCATCACGCCGAAAAATACCACGACTGCGTTCTTGCAACGTCAGACGTCACAGTGCAGAGAGTCATTGTGAAATCTGGGTTGAAGGGTCACTGCCAAACGTAACGGTCACTGCCGGTTGGCACCGTCTTAGGACACAGGCGCGCGCATACTGATGCGACGAAGTGAAAAGCGCCTATGCTCTGTCGCCTAAAGTCAGCGCACGTGGAAGAATGCTTGTTCATGATCCCGGAAATTACATGTTGTAGTCGTTACGCGTGGATTTTCGCGAGTTCCTGTGTACGTCAACATTAAAAATTATTACTGATGCATATATATGCAATTCGAATCCTTCCTCTGTTGTAATTTGAGCATGAATAATATTTAGGCATTGGAAATGGAAAGCGTGTTGACAAGGCCATGAGTAGGCTTCGACTGTGTGTACAGGCTGCGTTTTAGAATTTCTAATAATTACTCGTTAAAAATTATTTTAGTTATTATAGCAGCGAAAATTTCAAGAACATTGTTCTTCAACACATTTATAAGAATGCATTCATGCCAATTCATTGGAATGTTTTACAAAACTGGGCTTACCGTTTTTTATAAAAAGCAATTTTCATGAATTCTAAATTTCCAGAAAATATTTTACACAAAATCAGATGATGAATTAATAATTTTAGTTACATTTGTAAACAAAGTCTTTTGACGATGGTGATGTACTAGTGAATTCGATTTCATAAAAAATAATTGAAAATGATAGCTGATTCACTGACCATAATAAATGTGGTACTGTGATAAAACTGATGAAAGTTAATATTTGGTTATTTAATTAGTTCTTGCATGAGTGTAACATTATTATTTTACATTATTATTTATTTTGTGAGCATGCAATTGAAATTTCACAATTTGCGAACGTGTTTTATACGCAAGAAGGGCAGTTTTCTTAACAGGGGGTTCAAATTTCTTCTTTTTGTTCTCCTTCTTTATTTCCTTAGTGAGAGCAAATGCAAAGAAAGCATAATTTAACTTCATTTTGGAAAGATTGATGCAATGATTCCCTGTATATTTTTTTATTATTATCTTCAACTCTCTGGAGTTCTGATATTGGCATCGTGGTAAAATAACTCTGAAAAAGTAAACCTTTTACTTTCTACGAAAGGTTCTCACATACGTATAAACACATGCACACTTACACATTGACACGCATGTACACACAAACACACGCGCGCGTTCTTTATATGCAGGCTATTCCTTGTACATCTGTGTGAAGTTATAAAACTCGACTTAAGACTTAATGATTCTGTGAAAGAGCACAGTGACGGGTGAATGGCCATTTAAATGGACTTTACAGCTCCACAGAACCAAACAATTGCACACAACCAACGGTATTCTAGTCGTTCTTTTTTTTTCGACAGCGTGGAAAATGAAACAGTAATTTACAGCGAAAGGAGCCCGAGAACCTTGCAGTTACGTAATTGGGCGCATGAGGCAATGTCTTTGCGCGCGTCTGCCTGCCCGCCCGCCGGCCGGCACCTTGAGGCGTGCCGGTGGGTGGCGCGGGCGGTGGGTCATGCGAACACCTGGTGCTGAATGGACGATGCCACCACCACCACCACCACCACCACCACCGCCGCTGCCGCGAAGTCGGCGCTGAAGTAGCAGTCGCCGACAAACGCTCGCGCGCGCGCCAGGCAGAGAAGGCGACGTTCGCGCACGCGGCCAACGGCACGGCCCTTGACAGCCAGCAGCGGCCATGGCCCTCTCACTCACGACAGGTAAGCGCCTGCGCGCTCCTGCTGCACAGGTCCTCCTCACACATCGTCTTCTTTCAATGTAATTACCAAATACAATATTTTCTTTATTGTAAGACGGAAAATATTTTTTTTAGTTCATAGTTATCCGAAATTGCTGTTGGTCGAATTTTGAAACTGCCCGTGCTTTTGGGGCGCGAAAACTCGAAATCGCTTTGAAGAGGAATTCTCTGCGATTCCTCCTCTCGGATAGTAATATGCTATATTGCACAGTACTACGGCGGCAAGAAGAGGAAAAGTTTCATAATGCCACTATAAGATAGGAGTTTCTCCTGTAAAATGGCATCTATTGCCAGTTACTGGATATGAAAAAAACACTCGGCACCTGCTGGATGCCCACACGCACACGAGGCATCGGCCAGGTTGTTTACTATCCGAAACTCTGGTTATAGAGTAAATTGAATCGTTACGCTTCCCTCTCTCTTTCCAATCTCATGGCGACGAACAGTGTAATTACTAATCAAAGCCTTTTGATATTCAGTCTGTGAAAAGGGCTTAGAGCCTAGAGAAAGTATATTCTTCTTGCGCTTTCTTCGCAAAAGGATTCGTGTGATACCTAAGTCGGTTGTGCTGTGCTGTACCCAGATTCTTTCCTAAAACTATTAGTTTTTTAATCGTGTAAAAATTAGTGCGTGATTTTTTATATGAGCAATTTAGAAGAGCCATTTTACAAAAACATATTGCTGGTACAAAAAGGAGTCCGAATTCGCCACTTCCGAAGCTTTTATGCGGCTCCAGCAAAGAAGGGAAGCTGATGTTTCCCACGACGTGATATGATAAAGCGTCCTGGTTAATAGGTAGTGAACAAAGACCACTTCTTCTGTGTTTCCATGGGTTCTAATGTCAAACTCGAGAGACTTTGTTCGTATCTGATTTCAGTGGTTTAAAAATTAGGTCGTGGAATTCCAATGCACGAAACGTCATAGAGGATCTTCATTGTTCATGAAAATGAACTCTTTTTGGTAAAAATGAATATCGCATTGATCTAGCCTTAATGAAGCTACTAGCATAGTTCTTTTACCAGTAACGCTACGGCAAAGTTTACATTTTTTTACATCAGCATGTAATCTAATTTGTTGTGTGCATTATTTAGTGCAATAGTATTTGCATGCCTTCTTTTATCCTCTTAAGAATTTTGCACAACCCACCACTGTCTTCTAGGCAGATTCTTCCTAGAGCTCGTTCAACTGGTTTCACGCGTAAGGAATGGCAACATTAGAGAAAGTGCCTTTAGAAATATAGCACCGGTAGTAGCTGCAAGAATGTCTTAGAAGTTTTTTTTTAAATATCTTGAAATACAAATCGTTATGTGAAACTCAATGGACTTTTAGTACACTTCATTCTTAACAGTTCTCTTAAATAAAAATATCAACTTTTTGGTTTGTTACATTTTTATTAATATACATGGTCCTATTTTGTCCCAGAATTGGTCATCAGAAAACTGCAACATTTTGAGAGGTCAGATACTCGACTCAGGAACGTCGTCGTTTCCATATTCTACTCTCTGTACGTGTTTAATACCGAAGTTTATAATCGTGCCGATTCCTGATACATTATTGCAATGCTAATATTAATAATATGTTTTCAGCTTATCTTTAAGTATAATGAAGGGAAAAAGAAAAAAATGCTCTCTTCTAATCCTTACTACTAGAAGACATAAGCTCCACATTCTGCAAGTTTGAATCAATTGGAAAATCTACAATTCTTACGTTTTCAAAGGTGTTTGTAGAGGCCACCACTGATTTCATTACCCTATATTGTTAATGCAGAGTACTAATAGATCACAATTTGAATTCGACTTTTATTTCCTAGGGTATCTGTATTTTGATTTGCATTCAATGAATGTCCCGATTTTGTAATTTATTATTTAAGTAAGAAGACTTAATTTGCAGTAATTAACTATGATATAAGCTTTTTATTATGAAGATGGTAGGAATGTTTAAGATTACATTTTTCTCATCGCTAGTAATGACTAGTCAATACAAGTTATATGCGAGTGCAAAAAATGCAAAGAAGGCTTTGAAAATACAACAGAATTCCCAGCAGTGGACATTAATAATCCGTTTATGCGATTCACTGCTATAAGGTAACAAAAACTGATTTTATTTTCGTCGATAAGTAGTACACAAAGTGATGTACTGTTGCAGAATATTTAACTCAAAATTTGTCAGACGTACACATTCTGAGTACCCTACTACTGAACAATACTTTACAAAATCGTCGACCTGTCGGATGGCAGATAAATATCAATAGCACCTCAATCAGGCATTTCAAGGTGGCTGGCACACTAACCTATATACTACATTGGTTATGAAGGATATATAAACCCTATGAGTTATATATAAGCTATATCACCTACCTATAATTTGCGAACACAGCGTCCATAGGATTTGCCCCGAGGTTTAAAAGTATGGATTGTACGAACTGCTCCGAGAAGGGGCTATTACAGTGAATGCATCCCTGTGTTTGGAGAAGTCAGATGAAATAATGCTCCGAATATTTAATATATTCCAATATCTTCTACTGAAGTAAGAAAACTATCTATTTAGGCTAAATAAAATTCATTACTCATATACGAACTTTTTGATGGTAAAATTACACATTTTGAATGGAAACGACCTTCTTTCAAAATCGCTGTTATTTAAAGGGCAATAATTGCTTAATTTCTTACATTCAGGTTACAATGTTAAAAAATAGCCACCGATAATAGAGATATATTAAGTATATATACTTCCAATCTGCATATTATGAAGTTTGGTGGGGTAATGCAAGCGAAGTAAAAGGAAGCTGCTCATGCCCGCATAAGCGCCTGGCGTCCCAGAAGGGCCGGTAGCTCGCGTGGGCCCATTTTTTTACATGCCTGCCCAAAATCGTACACAGTATTGCTTCAAAATACAATGTCATTTACCGATATGACTCATCCTAAGGTTATGAGAATTTGAAACAGTTCCTTTAACTTCATGAATAGCACTAAGATTTTTTTTTCTAAATATTCGAATTTTTCCTATTACTAAGCTAGTAATGGAACGTACAGTGTCAGTAGTATTTAAATTGTCGAAACCTGTGAAATGGAAACACTCCACTGAGCTGGTAAAATAATCCACTAACATACTGCCAACCTGGATGGCCGAGGTGGCTAAGAGCGAGAACCGACTCAGGGCTTCGTCCGAAGCGTCGCGGGTTCGAGTCCCGCCTTGGGCATGGTTGTTTGTTGCTTGTCTCTCATGTACGTGTTATCACGGAGGAACTCGCGTTCTTCTGATTCCAGGTCAGAGGAACCCGCAAGTGTTCCTCTCGAGACGTAAAGGGTAACCGGCTGGCGGAAGGACAAACGTCATAGAAAAAAATATAATACCAAGGCTTGATTTATTAATGTTTAGGTTCCGGAACGCATCCCAAATTAATAAATAATTTAATAGAAATAGTTGAATAATAATACAGTAAAATCCTGGTAATCCGAAATAATTGGAGGTGTCATTTCTTCGGATTTGGATATGTTCGAAATTTCAGAAAAAAATGAACCGTACATACACAAATACATCTATAGGATTACTAGACAATGCAAACTTATCATGCGATGTGAGAAAATGGCAACGTAGCGTAGCGATCGCATCATCAAGCAGTTTTAGTTTCTTCCTTAAGGTTATCAATTTTGCAAAATTCCTCTAAGTAAAAAATTACTGCTACATAAGCATATGATGTACACCGAAGTCACCATTGCAATAAACGTTTCATTTTCAAACGTTTCGACCACTTGTGTGTTTAATAAGAGTTAGTTGTTTTGTGATATAGTAATTATAAAATCATTTCTTTACGAATTTCCGGGTTTCGGATGAGCGTGATTCTACTGTGTTGTAATTTAATAATTATTCCCAAGGGTCCGCAACAGCGATCCGTCGCGTTCCGCCAGAAATCAAGCCCTACATACTACCAACCTACCAACTAACCAACTAACTAAATAAATAAATAACAAATAAATAAATAAATAGAAGCGGTGTTAAGGGAGCGCGTGTTGCAGCGGGCGGTGCCCTGTGGCCGATGCTGTCGCGGCGCGCGGGCGCGTTCGCGCTGGCGGCGCTGGCCGTGTGGGTGGCGCCGCTGCCGGCCGACACCCTGCTGTGGTGGGGCCGCGCCGCGCTCTGCCTCCTCGCCGCGTGGCTGGCCATGCTCGTCGTCTCGCGCCTGCTGCCCGCGCCCATGCTGCCGCTGCACCGGCGCGCCGTCCTCGTCACAGGTGCAGTAAACCCGCTCCACGGCGGTGCGGCGGCGACGACGGGTGGAACGAAGTCAGGAGAATGTTTAGAGGCCGTACATAACATAGCATTTGGAGTATTGAGAATAACCCATAGTAACGCGCCTGTAACGCGCTGTTGAACTCTCCCAAAATAATTACGTAACGCTTGACAACCACCCCCTCCAGCAAAAATCAAAATATATTATGTCTGAGAAAACACTATTTGTATTAATTTTATTTGTGTTCTATTTTAAAATGAATGATAATTAAAGTCGGAATGAATTGCCGATGTTGACTACATGTAATAATAACATTGGAAACAAGTGCTATGAGATGTAAGGATGCACAGATATGAAAAGTTCTTAGAAGCCATGTAGATGTCGTGGATGACAATAAAGCGACAATCTACTGCACCAAAATAAAGCATTGTAAAATACACGATAGATCAGTTTTGAATATTTTCTTCGTAATCTTACAGACTCTACAAAACATTATGAAAAGTACATTATGAAAAGTACTTCATTGTGAAAAATTATACAATAACTTTCAATTATTTATGTTCTTTAAAAAGTAATTAATAGTTAGCCTTATAGTTTTTTTGTAATAAGACATAAAAAGTAATGTTTTCACAAGATGAAAAATTAAAAATAAATCCATGTTACGTAACACTAAACTTAACTCTTAACCCCAAGTAACGTAGCGTAACGCTCCCTCAAATCCCCTGTCCCCTCTTAAGCGTTACGTAATCTATTGACGATCCCTTAGATCCAAGTGTTTTTATTCGAGGATTCGTATTTGAGTTTGCCTGCCTGGACAATCGAGGTCGGTGAGGCTGAAGAGCCGTAGCTGCCTCGTGCATGAAGGATTGCGGTTTCGAAACCCGCCCGTGGCATGAATATTTGTGGGTGTCTATATACCGTTACAGTTATCCCCAATGTTACTTACAGTTTATGACCTTAAGAGATCAAAAGCGACCTTAAATACGTAGAGGGGGGAAATGTTTCAGTTTAAAGAACGAGACGACTTTGGTCGAGTCAGTTTTATTCGTTACAATCACTTTCAGATGTTTCATGAGATTTTTTAAGGGGCAATACATACATTATGTATTGCAAGTTTCCAGTATTTTGAATACGCCTTCTCCCTCATTGCATTGAAGGCTGTGGTGCCAACGTTTTTACCGTGGTCGTAACAGCTTTCGACACGGCGTTACCCAGACAGGCAAGATCATTAAAAAAACAAAAAACAATTGCTCCTCACGACATTTCAAGGAACTCCGGTCAGATTTCATGACCCAGATTGTTCTAGCAAGAATAATACACTTTCAGAAACAAAAATTGAGATTTCTTTTTCTTTCTCATTTTTGTACGCTATCCTCACGCTGCATTTGCTGTATGCCACCTCTCAGTTTCGAAGCACGCGCGAGGCGCCCCTCGGCGAGGCGCCCTTGGACGAGCGAGTGTTGGCGTGCGCAGGGTGCTCGTCGGGCTTCGGGCAGGCGGCGGCGCTGGCGCTGGACGCCGCGGGGGCGCACGTGGTGGCGGCGGTGCGCACGCCCGACGCCCCCGGCACGCGCCGCCTCGTCGCCCAGGCGTCTTCGCGCATGCGCGTCGTGCGCATGGACGTCACCGACGACGCCTCCGTCGCCGCCGCCGTCGCCGCCGTCCGGCAGGCCCTCGGCGACAACGGTGAGTGCGGCCCCGCCCGCGATGGCGCGCCCCTATTATACTAGGATTTGCTTAACCCAACGAATGTATGTATGAACTTGGCGCGACAGTGAACGGGCTCAGGCCTACCGGCGACGTCTCTGCCTCGCAGCCATGGGTTAAGTGGTTAGCACGTAGGCATCCTCACGCCGCCTCTATGTCATCTCAACCTCAGAAGTAAAGTTTCTCATCGCCACACAGCAACATATACTGAGACATTGCATGGAAAAGGCAGACTATAGTTTTGGATCGACCGGAAATCGAACACGGAACCAAGTACTGAACAGCGAGCACGCTGGCCAAGAGCTAGCTACGAGCCACTTAACCGTACACTTGACGTAAATCAGCTGTTCACGGTTTCATCCAATCGAGAGCTTGAACGTTCCCCTAGTGACGTCACTGTAGCGACATACAAGCTCCCGATTTTCCCTATCCAGGTATCTCCCTTCACGGAAGGACTACGCTGGCATGGAAAACTCTGATCTCCCCATTTGTGTGTGTATATATATATATATATAAACTTAAAATTATTTACAAACTTTTTATCTTCACTCGCATTTACATATTACTTTTATATTTCTTTAAGTCGTACTGAAATTAAAGAACTATTCTTTAATCACAAAGAATTGATCAATGCTGTGCAGTCAAATAACAAAATCACATGACAGCAAAATAAAATGTAATTTAATATTTTACATATTACTACAATATATTTGAGTACGTCCGCGGGTTAAAATGTTTGTAAGAAAATGTATACCTATTTTAATCGCATTTTTTATAAATAATTACGCCTCCCCCGCTTGTCCGCTATTTTTTGGAAGCAGACCTAGCAACCCAACTAATACAAGTGACGGCCACGTCACGCGGCCGTCCGAGCTGGCCAGGAATTCGGAAGCGCTAGTGCCACTTCTCCTATCATTACTGCCAACCTTCGCGACGTATCTTTACTAGACACCTCCAAACTTTCAAGATACTCTCCTGCAAAATTTGCTCAACGCTAGATACAACCCTATCATTCTGGAAACGCGCTTTGTAGCCGCTGTTGTACTCACGGTTGTGGACACATGTTCTAAACTAGGATTGTATAGCCAGGAAATGTCGGGATATAATTGTCAGTCAAGAATCAAACCTCTAAATTGAGGGGGGATCGGTAAGATACACATCGCCGATCAAAATGTATTATTAACAAATACCTTCATACAGCTCTTTATATTATTATTTTTTTTAATATTATGATTGATTATAATGGGGATGGTGACACAGACATGATAAGAGAGCTAAAACGTTTTCTTTTCACAGAACTTTGGGCTGTGGTGAATAATGCTGGTTCCTTGGGAGTGGGCGAGTGTGAATGGTTGGATATGGATCACATGAAGAGTATTTTGGATGTCAACACGTTTGGAACTCTACGTGTGATTCGTGCATTCCTACCAATGTTGCGGGAATCCAAAGGACGAATCGTGAACATGATCAGCATCCTCTGTGAGTTTCTTGAGTTTCAAATTTACACAATTGTCATTAAAACATTTCTAAATTTTGGAACTCCGTACATTTTGGAGCATGAAATAGAGTGCTAAATGAGCAGAAAGATTTGGCTATAAGTCTGTGGTCACGGGGTAAAAGTTCTCAAAAAATCTTAGTTTGGAGAAAACAAGAGTTAAGACAATTGAGTCGTCTAAATTTTCCAACGCCCAGCTATATTCCGAAAGCTTTTTTGTCGTTAAGGAAGAAACATTTGAATTCGGTCATTTTACTAAATAAAATATAAATACTTAACTGGTAGTTTCAGCACTTAACCCAATTTCGCCAAGTATTGACTTGAGGACTTCTTCCCCGTGAACACAGAATTATCCTTGATGTTTGATAACCAGGGCACTCTCAAACCATTAGAGATCTTGGCACTCCTTTTGAAGATAAAAATTTAAGAATTTGAAGAAGAAAATTTACTTGTATCGTCGTATTTAACATTTTAAGTAATTTTTATTTAAAAATGAAAAATGCTATAAATATCATTTTTATACCCACTTTCTATTTAATTCTTTACTATTGGGATATATTAACTTTATATTCACTTCCATTAATCTTCTACTTTTAACATTTACGTTCCTCCGCTGTTTTTACATTTATCACTATATTGATTTCTTTAAAATAATAATTTGCCCTGCACTGTTCATTATCTAGACATTCTTCAATGATTACTGAGAACATCGATTACGAAAATATGGGTTCGACAAATAAATGCGTTACCTTTTCAATTTACTCAATATGTGCACGTGCAACTCTGTACAGTGCTGCGATTCCTGGAATTTCTGCTGTTTTAAAACTGTTATTGGAGAATTTATGGCACTACCACTAAAAAAAATCAGACTTTTGGTTTTTATATTTAAATTTTAATATTTTTCTAATGTAATTACAATCAATATATTATCAAAATTACACTTGAGCTCATTAATTGTCTGAATCCTGTTTCCTCTATACAATAACAGTTCCGTACGGTATTTCCTTCTGAAAAATTTCATAAGCTTGCGGAGATATCTTCGGTGATGATATTCAGGATAACTTCTTCCTAGATATTGTCCGGGTTATGTTTTCGTAGCACTCATCTCTCAGCAAATTCTATCAGCGGATAAAGTTCCTAATATTTTTCGAATGTTTTAACTATTTAATAATAATATTATTATATGGTATAATTCATTGAACAAATATCATTCGCGAACGCGACATGCTCTTCCTGTGCTCTCGGTGATGCGCCAACTCGCGACTATATTTTTGCTTAACTTGGAAAAATTAATTAATCATACCCAGCTACGATTTTAATCTACTTCATCACGTCACGTACGGAGTACATTTCATTTCTCTTATAACTCGTAAGTTACGACACATGGCATAATAACACCCTTGAATTCCAATTTACTTAAGACACAAAATTCGTCCAATTAATCTCTCCCTAACATAAAAATGGTCACCCAGCCTAAGTCTGCAATATTAGCACCGTCCATCGGTTGCTGAGAAGAAACTAATCCATTCTAAATAACAAAGGAACCTCGATATCGAACGCCTCATCATTTACTCACAATTTTGCTTTGGGTCTATGCTTTGCACAAGAATATCGCCTTCAGCCTTTAAATAAGGCTTGTTGACTAGTTGTCCTGACAACGTGTTTTTTGGTCTAGAATGTTTTGTTTGCATCCAATTCTATAGTAATCATAGGTTCGATGCAGATTTTCCTGTCTTAAATGCCGTGGGGCGTTTCTGGCACGTATAAAAATAATTTTTCATCACATTTCTTCTGAAAAATTAGCATTTCCTTGTACAATAATTGATACACAGTTATACCCATGAATATTCTCAGCCTATTCCTACATTGGGAATAAAAATTTAAATAGTCCGCAATTATTGTTTCACAATTTTTTTAGAATAAATGTAATCTATAATCATGTTGTATTTAAGATTCATACATTCATTCAAAAATTTGAAATGTTTAATATTGAGGCACTTAAAATGCATTGTTTTACATTAGTGTGGTGGGAGAAATCAAATTATTTATTTGGCAACCTTTTCAAAATCGCGTTTCCTTGAATGTGGAGTTTTTCCTTCACACATTGGTGCGAGCATGTAAAAAGGTCCAATAGACCTGCCGCGCAAACAGGTTACACACAGAGAACATATTGACAAGGAGTTTCGCTTCGTCACCGAATGTTATTAAAATAATATCGTCAATGTATGTGAAAGTATCCCCGGCTTCGTGCATGACGCGATCCGCAACACTGCTGGTTCGGCTGTTGATTTTTTAAAAATGCGTGCTAACGGCGTCTTAATAGAAGAGCTAGATTTCTCCAAAAATCAACTAATGTCAGCGTCTCACATAGAATTGTGTTGAGTGCTTTCTTCGGCCCGTACAATGCTTTACCGTGTTAGCGACGCGTAGCAGTTAATTGTTGTTCTTTGAAATTTTGATTTCTTTTTCTCTATAATGAAGATCGTGTGTGTTTGTTTGTAAGGAAAGGTTAAAATATGTTCACCTCACCAGGTTTACAATGCCCACTCTTAGCTCTTTAATTTAGAACAGAGAGCGCTTGTAATTGTGTTATTTGAAGTTAGAAGCCAAATATGAATTATTTTCGACGCTTAGGTGCTAACAATTAATGTCCTGATGATAAAAAAATACATAGAAATAGAAAACATTTATTTTAATAATAGACTGGGTGGAAGATTAATCATCTTTCATCCAGTGTACTAAAGTGCAGATTACGGTACTTCCACATATTTATGATGAAAACAAATTCTACAAATTTTGAGATGAAAAAATATGAAACTATTCTGCAAAAAACATGTACCCAGAATCCCGGATCCCACAGAACCCGGACGCCCATGTCGACTGCCCACTACGCCCATACCTTAAGACTGCACCGAGTACAACACGATGTGACGATCAGATTCATTGAGAGGTAAAATTGAATGTTTTGCCCGTAAAAATATCTAAGCCCTGGTATTGCATTTGCAGGTCGCTGCTCGTTGGGCGGCGTCGTGCCCTACTGCGTGTCCAAGTACGCCACCCTCGCCCTCACGGAGGCCCTGCGCCACGAGGTGCGGCGCTTCGGCGTCTCGGTGCACTCGCTCGAGCCCTGGTTCTACGAGTGAGTACTTTCGATCGAACTCTCCACCCCTTCGCACGAGAACGGAACGCCAGAGACTTCTTTTTATGTAAACCGCGGAAGCTAGTGGATTGATTGATTGAATGATTACTAGGGATTTCGGGCGTGTCAACTGCTAAGGTCATTAGACCCGAAAGTATAATGCTTGTTTTGTTTTGCTCGGAAGGGGGTAGTTTTCTTGCTTCGTTGGATGGTGAGGTCCGGCGCCCACCAACCGTCGGCTACAGGGGTTTTCCTCAACCAGGTATCTTCTAGTCGCGGGACATTGCTCCTGCCGGAAGAGGTTCTAAGCTCCCAACCGGTGTCCCGGTTTGTGGTCGTGTAGTGCATGTAACTAAGCGTGTGTGACGGATGAGGATGGTGTTGATCGGAGAAACCAGGGGGAAACTACCGATCAGAGCAGCCGGTCGCTAGAAATATCCCCCAGACAGCGACAGAACTCGTCCTAGCTATCTGACTAGAGTCTAAAAATCTTGCCGTCGCAGGGACTCGATCCCCAGGACAGCTCAGACGCACTGCAGTGAGATCACTTGATTCCCATAGCCTCCTCTCCCGATCGAGAAGCAAGTGGATAAACGGGTCACGTGTCGAATGCGCTGGCAGGTTTAGGAGGCTCAGGGCATCAACTGACATCACTGCAGTGCCTATGACCAGGAGTTCCTAGGGTTCGACTCCCGACGGTGGCAGGATTTTCGACACTAGCTAGATAGCTAGGTCGAATATGGCGGCTGTCTGGAGAATAATTCTAGCGGTCGGCTGCTCTGATCGGTAGTTTCCCCCTGGTTTCTCCGATAAACACCATCCTCATCCGTTACACACGCATACTTCCATGCACTACACTACCACAAACCCCGGGACACCGGTTGGGAGCTTAGAACATCTTCCGGCTTACTATAATCTATATATAATACAAGAGTTCCTTGTCCTTTATTTAATTCTTCTGCAATATAGTTGCTTACTTTGTTAAGTAGCTGTTCAGTCCCTTCCCTTTTTCAAAGTCGTACTGGCCCTCGTCAATAATATTTTCATTGAGATAATTATTTAATCTAGTTACAATATATTTTTCCACGATTTTTTCAGTAACCGACAATATTGTGATTTGTCGATAATAATAATCATAATAGTAATAATAATAATAATAATAATAATAATAATAATAATAATAATAATAATAATTAAGAGAGCATGCTATTAAAATAATATTGTGTTTGGGAAAAGATCTTCGAATTCCAGAGTTTCGTTCGAGTTCTGAAGTGTCAAAATTAAGCATCTAGAAGAACAGGTATATTGTTTGAAACATTTATGTCATGAACGTTCTAATAACAACAATTTAGGACCATGGAAAGTTGATTATCCACCATGACGATTAAAGAGATAAATGGGAATCGAAATAATTCTTTGAAATTATACAACAGATATCAACATTGCGAAGAGGAAGGAAAATGGACATTTCAAAACCAGCAATAATTTTAGGGATTAGAATGTCATTATATCCTAGATTAGACATACAATTTACTTTTAAATTGCTTAATCGAGTCATAACAGCCGAGACTTCTTAAATTTTTTTTATAGTTTTCGTAATGAGCAAAATAAGGAAAAACTGCGGTGTGCTTAAAAATTATTCTATAACATTATCTCTTTCTTATAAAAGAAATAACAGTTTTGTAATTGGAAGACATGTTATCTAAATCGGTAGGGTTTAATCACCAAGATTCTCTGTGATGAAATATCTGTTGTTTTTTTTTTTTGCACAGAACTCCCTTATTAGAGCAAGGGCCAACTAAACTCGAAGAAGCCTGGGACAAGGCTCCAGATCACGTCAAAGATGCGTATGGTCAGGATTACATAAGCAGAATGCAGGTAAATATCTTCATAATAATATGTTCTCCTGTTACACTCAAATATTGTTGTTTTTACTGCTGTATTTTTCTTCTTAGAATACGAGAGAGAGTCTGTTGTCATTACTCACTCTTCCTGCCAGGAAGGTGCACGTTGTCTCAGAGGCAGTAATTGATGCCTGCTTCGCCAGGGATCCTCAGGTAAGTTCATCGTTTATTATTAGCTCGGAATTATCAATTTATCAAATGTTATTTGAAAAATGACATTTTGATACTTTTTCCTTTGCTTATATTTAAATATTTCTACACAACAAATACCAAAATGAAATATTTCTATTGCGGCTCTTCACTCTCGTTAAATACGCTCATTTAATCACAACATTATTTATTTCCATTGGTATTTTTATGGTATTTTTTGTTATAATTAACTGAAAATACTTTTTACATTAATGATATCCACAACATGTTATCCATAAATTGTTTGCATATTTCATAAACAAGAAACAAGATTTTAAATCCCAAAACCAGGGAAATGTATTAGAGAAAACAAAATAATTACGGCGACATTATGACAGTAATAAGTCAAAAGTGACTAATTATGCAACACATTCCAGAGCATGTAGCGTTTTTTATAATTAATAAATAAATAAATAAACTTTATCATTGCGGCGAATTAGCTTAAATTTCTTTATAATTGTACTCTTACATTCTGTAATTGTTAAATTGCTACTATCGTAAACTCTGTTTACCTATATTCAGTATTCATATTCTTCATTTTCAAGAAGTTCTATTTGCCTAATTCATTTCAGGTGCGGTACATTCCCAGTCTCTTCGCAGAGTTCACAGCCGATCTTGCACCTTTCGGGAGAGTCATCATTGCAATACTGCATAACATGTTCCTTCCAAGGCTTAGACATAAATCATTGTAGTGGAATATTCATTTTCATAATATCATTAAAACGTTTCTTTCACATAAAATTTAAACGTGATTTTTATTGAAAATTACTATAGTAATATATCCTGTGTTGTTATTTTTACCCAGATATTGTCTTGCACAATTTATGTTCAGAAATTTCTGTGAAATATCATTGACTGTCTTCAGAATGGTAAAAATATTTCTTTGCCATTCTGAATTATTAATAATATATTGCTGAAGTATATATCAACTATGCGTTGCCACCGACTTCATGATTTGACAAAAAAATTCAAAAGCTCCTTGATATTAATTATGATTTTGGGGAACTCAAAATGTTCTTTTGAGAATAAATTATTTTCGTTAGCCTAATTCACTAAAATCCTTGAAGTTGAAATCAGAATCAAAACATCTTTTAATAATGAACAGTATTTATGAAATACAAAGATTTTTTATATTTATATGTTTTGTATATGTGGGTGACTTAGACTTATTCTGTCATCCCTTCATTGAATCAAAAAAAAGAATAGAATAGATTTTAATAGAATTTTAATTACACTTCATTTGGCTCTGGTTTTTTGCAACAATTGCAATTTACATTGTATTTTTTTACAAATTTCTCTCGTAATTTTTCTTAAATAATATTCTTTTTCTTTCTTAAGTTTAGCACTGTTGGATTTTTTTATAGTAAATTAACATTTAACGCAAATAACGTTTTTAAATGCTGGTTTTTTACGAAATATCGTATCCTTATTCCTAAACTGTTCGCTGAGAACGATCAGCATATGAAAATTTTTGCTGGTTCGTTTATGATTTGACTGCCCCGCACTTTAATAATGAATGTGAATGCAATATCAATGCAAATTTAAAAGAAGTAAATATACACTACTTTATCACATTTTATACTTCAGTGTAATGAAAAAATGAAACATTGGTTCACAGTTTTCTTAAATATTTTTACATAAAAACGTTTATTCATTCAATGAGTATTATTTCTGTGAAGTGTCATTGCAACTGTTGTTCTTAGTGAAAACTCCATAAAAGATTTTAGTGAATTTAACGCTATGTTTAAATTCATTATACAAAGATGAATCATTTTATTATCATTTCTTAGCGACTTACAGTTAGCACTTAGTACTTTCATTCACTGTACAAGCATCATTCATTTAAACATTATCATTATACAACTTATAATGTGCTATTAACTAGAGGTAGTATCGTGAAGCCATTAAGTTTAGCATACGTTGGTACACAAGTATTTCTATTTTAATTCTAAACATGAAACTAAGAAAAATAAATATATTGTGGGGCCATGGCTAGAAATTCTGTATTATATCAAAGAAATCTTCAGAAGACTTTTAAAAACAACATGTCGATTCAAGTATGAATATTCAAAGAATTATCAATGCAAATATATATTATTATTAATTGTTTTTATAAAAATTGTTCATCATGTAACCGATAGGGGTTGCTGTGTATCCTTCACAACATGCCATGCTATTTCCCCCCCCCATCTCCCCCTCTCAATATATATATATATATATATATATATATATATATATATATATATATATATATATATATATCACTGTGCTTTCCTACAGAATGCTTTTCCTCCCCATCTCCCATCGTCATTGTCAGCCCCAGTTTTCACCGCAGGTTTACACCTCAGAAATATCTCATTTATTACACTTCGTAACGTTTTCGTTTACATCATCAGTAACAAATTCACCAAAATCATCATCGATTAAGTTTCATTTGACACTCATAAATTTTATTCTCCACCACTATTTCGCCTATCACAGCAACAGACACATCGTCATCAGTTTTGCTTCATTGTTGCCTTCTCAACAAACATCGCCCACCAGCGGCGGCTGTCATCACCACAACAACAATAGCAACCACTGCAGTCGTCACCGACGTCACAGCTACCACGACGACTTCCACCTCCGCCACCGCCACCATCACTGCCACCGCCGTCACGGCCGCCATTGCCATAGATGCCTCCACTTCCGCCTCCACTGCCGCCAGGGCCATCACCGCCACAGCCGCTGCCAGCGCCACCGACTCCACCGCAGTCACCATAGTCTCCGCCACGACCATCGGCGCCCTGAACCTCCTCTCACCCAGCGGCCATTGCAACTTCACTGTCAGTGCGGGATATTCTTCACCGGTAATCACAGTATTTCCATTGGATTAACACTTTCATGTAATATTGCATTCTGATCCCAGAGAAAGTGAACAGATACACTCGTGTATTACATTTCAGAAAAGGGAAATCAGTGTTCTCCTTTACCGCCATTGTTGCTTTAATGATAAAAGCATTGCTTGACTCAAAATGAATCTGTCCAATGAATGTAACAAACAGATTCCTGGAACAACGAAACGATTCTTCTCTGTATTCGCAAAACAAATTACTTTACCAAAAAGTTTTCGAGGAAAGAACGCTCCTTCGAAGATCAGTTCGCATATACTTCAACTCATAACGTCCACAACCTTATCCAAAGCGAGTGAACCACCGGTGTACCTCAAGGACCGCGTCGGCGCCCACCATTGCAACGACTCC